CTGGTTTTTTACCGAGGTTTCCTCCTCCATGCTCCGAAGAGCGAAGAGCCAGCAGGGCAACCGGCAGACACGCCCACCCTGCTGGACCAGGCCTTGCCCGAGAGCCGATGAACGGCTACCTCTTCTGCTAGAATATTAGCCGCTGGCGATAATCCTCTCCTCCAAGAGGACAAGGAGGAAACAGTACCATCGCCAGCGTTTCCAGGGTGCACCACGAGGAGGTTTTCTAGCCAGCACCCCACACAAACCCTGTACCAACCCGTCTGGCCAGCTTTGGTATAGTAGGCCAAAAGTTCCTTTCTAAGGAGAGGCCTATGTCAAGCCGTGGACCATTAAAGGCTGTTGATACTATTTATAGGGTTTTCTACTTCTAAGATGATCTTACTTATAAAGTTCTGCGATCCTTCGATCTTTTACATTTCAGCATTATAGGAAAGATTTTCTGAGATTGTATTTACCTATCTCTTAAGATAAAGAGGATTTAAATTATAAATCTAAAATGATGTTACGTCAGACCCCCCATAGCCAAATAACTGCACGCTTATCAAATTGTTGAGTTTAGTGAAGTACATACAACAATGATACTACCTACTAAAATATTAGTAATCCTTATAACAATTTGGTATACGTAACACAACTAATACGGTATCTTGAAAGTTTAAAAATTCAAAAAAGGCCTAGTGCTATTTAATGGGGGTCGATTTATAGACCTCGTTCATAACAAAATCAGTTTTCGTTTATGTCGACCCCTTTTTTTTTTTTTCCGTGCGGAAATCCCCTCGGATACTACCTGTCGGTGGCATGTCGGACACGAACCGACTAAAACCGCACGCCGTCTCGGATACTACCCTAGAAAGGAAGTCCCTGGTGCCCCGACATACCTCGGGTCATCTACAGACGAGTAGACGACCCCCCCGTGTGGGAACCCTATGTTCCCTGTGCTCCCTGGAAGCGAGCGCGCTTCGCAACGCGCTCGCCGCCACCCCGGCCTGCTTCTGCTAGGGTGACAGATGGCCTCACCTGTCACCCCCAGGCCTGCGCTTATGGAGGACGGAGGTCGTTCTGCGACCAGAACTCCCACTCCGATGGCCGCCACGAGGTCTCGCCTCTGCTCAACCCACGCCGGGCACTCTGCCAGCGTGTGGAGAGCCGTGTCCACGGTCTGGCCATCGCAGTGGTGGCACTCAGGCGTTGGCTCCTTGCGGATCAGACACAGGTGATCCCCGAAACATCCCTTCCCAGTGATCACCTGCGTCAATCGGTATGAGAGAGTCCCGTGACGCCTCTCGAGCCAATCCTCCATAACGGGTCTTACCGCCGCAATGACGGCGTGCCCGGCGCTCGGTTGCCCGAGTCGTTCCCTCCACTTATGTCGACCCCTGGGAAACCGATTTCGACCCCTACTTTGGGAATCCCTGCACTAGACCAACAGGCCGTGTAACTAGTGCAAATGCTAAGTTTAAATTTTTTAGTTTTTTATTTTTATTTTGTGATGTACATTTATCTAATTCTGCTTATTCTATGATGTAAGTTTGTAACTAAAACTAAACGGATTTTAATTAAAGTCTACAGTACCAAAATAATATAGTTTATACATCCATACTTTTAGATTATACATGTGAAAATGAGTTGGTTTGTTTGTTACGCTTTCACGCCTCAACAGCTGAATCAATTTAAAAAATTCTGTCGCCAATGGAAAGCTACATTATCAGCTGTATAGGCTGCTTTACACACACGTGGGCAGAGCCACAGGCAAAAGCTAGTACCCAACTTCGAGAAACTAACATAAAACATGAAAAAAAATCAGGACATCTTCATTTTTATAGTTCTAATAGCTTGGAATTATAGATGCAAGGTTTGTTCGTTTAGTATTTTAGAGAATGTATATTTTATTGAACATCAAAAGTCTACAATGTGAGTACAGTTGGTAGATACTAATCGCGCACAGACGTGTAAATACATCGTAAGTGTTTGTCGCAGACGTCCTGTGATCTGAAGCCCAAGTGTTAGTTTATTTCACAACTACTCGATCGTCACGGTGATCGCGCTCGGCGCTGCGATTGGCCAGCACTGAAATCTGCACCAATAAAAAAAATTGCACTAGGCCCTCTGTTATTAACCGTGAGAGAGTCATGCTTCGGCGCAAATGGGCCGGCTCGACCGGAGTGACAACACGGCCTCACAGAAAACTGGTGTTTAACTATTTTTTGCTGCTTTTCACCGATTAAGTAAAGTTACTGTAGTCCAAACCAAATTTGCGTAAATGGCAAAGATCTCCCTGTTCTTTTTGCAATGATGATTACAATATATTCAAGTTTCAATTACTCACCGAATTAAGTATTAGTCCGTTTCACAGAACAAAGTCCTACACAATAATGTCGCCTTCAGACGATAACATAAATATATTTAAAACGTCGTTGATAATTAGAAAAGATTACTTATAATCTTATCATCAGTTCGATGTAATTATCAATTAATAGTATTTCTGCATTGATACATTATATATAAATATTCTTTTTAAAATGAGTCGCTTAGGGCGTAAAAAAATGCTACCATTCTTTCTTCATTAAAACGCTTTATAAAAACCGGTCAGGTACGAGTCGAACACGTGCGCCGAGGGTTCCGTACCTACCCAGATTTTACGTGGATTTTCGCGAAAATTTGTAAGTAAGAAAATTTATCTTAATTTTCAACCTTTTTTATTTTTTGAATTATTCCTTTATTTGTTCTTTAAGACATTTCTTTTTGCAAAATTTCGTGATTCTAGGTCAACGGGAAATACCATATGGGTTTTCTACCCAAAACCTATAGGGTACTTCCGGCTGACCTATAATTGTCAATTTTAGTTAAAAGCAAGGTCTTATAGCACAAGTAAAGAGAAAATTCTTAAAAATAAAACAAGTTGAAAATTAAGGTAAATTTTGATACTTAAAGGTTTTCGCGAAAATCGAAATTTGACCATATCTTTTTGTCGTGTTGACTCAGGATCTTGATTTCTATATAACTAATAGGGACCATAGACCTCAATGTCTGGTATAAATTTCAACTTGATAGGTCTACCCGTTTCTGAGAAAATCGGTGGTGACACACGGACAGACGGACAAGAAATTGATCTTATAAGGGTTCCTTTTTTACCTGTTGAGGTACGGAACCCTAAAAATAAGTAAGTAGTCTTTAAGTGGGGGATGAGTGTTGTGGAGTAACGGGTGTCATGTACCTCCAACACAAAGTGAGAATCCTCCGACCAGACGAGGTGAACACGCCTGGCGGGCCCCGGCCAAACGGTTGATGTTGGGAAGTTGTATATATGCTAATCGGCGAGAGAATTGTTAATACCGCGATACATGATTAGCAGTTACTCTGTAGTTCGGTGTGTCTTCGTTAGATGGCGCTGCAATATATTTCTTTGTTTTACCTATGTGGAATTCGCCACAGCTATGACAAGAGTTTTTAAATTATAGCATCCCAAGCTCATAAATTACATTAACGTTTATTTTTTTGGAATAGGGGGGCAAATAAGCAGACAGTCACGTGATGGTAAGGATCATCGCCGCCCATGGACACTTGCAACTCAAGAAACATAAGTGCGTGACCACCCTTCAAGGTTCCCCCCTTCCCTCCCTCCGCCCTCCCCCTCCCCCGCATAACGGAGAGGGGTGGTTTAAGGCTTCGGTACCCTCAATCACTTAAAAGTTAAGGACTTAACAACGGTTTTGTGTGAGACCGTGGTTTCACTCCGAAAGAAAAAGAGAGGCCTATTTAAGGCTGTTGATGTCATGTGAACCGGCCCATTTGTGTGTGTGAAGTTTACTTCTTAAGAACGATTCGGATGCACACTAGTATACAAGTTATACACACACATGTGAAAAGTACGCACGATAGGTTGCGCACATAAATCGTATCGAGGTCATTCGATCACTAAATTTTACTCTTCATATTTTTATACCAGGCGACCTATATGAAAATCGATTCTTAAGGACTAAACTCTACAAAAAACCCTCACTTTCAGTTATTACTTGATGTATTAATAATTTCTATTATATTGTAAAACTCGATTAACCTTTTTCCTTCCGCATCATTATCAACATATAATAATCCACTGCTGGACATAGGTCTCTCCTTAGAAAGGATGTTTTGGCCTACTATACGACGCTCGCCAGCCGGGTTGGTATAAGGTTTGTGTCAAGTTTTCCTTCTCTTTGCAAATCTGTTGTTCTGATATTTTTTTTTTGGAAGAGTGGTCAAACAGGCAGCCGGGACTGCAACTGCAACTCAGGAGTCATAAGTCCCCCCCAATTTTAGGCACAGCATGTCATCTTGTGGTTTAAGTCGTGTCGATTTCGACCCACGCTCCCATCGAAAATTCTGAAGGTAGCTCAAAATTGTTACCACACGAACAAAAGTAAAATAACAATTGGGAATTACCACAAGTTCTTCCTGGAAGACTGCTTCCATTGTTTAGTAAAATATAATTAAAAAGTAAAGGTATTTAGAAAAAAGTGATCGTAAAAATTAAAAATCATCTAAAAAAAAGTTTCACTGTATGGTCTTTCTGCCCAACTGTCTTTCCATATCCAGCTCTGAACTAATAATACCGAAAAGACGCGTGGCGTACAAAATATCTTGGGATAGGTTTGAAGCGCTTTTGCAGTGCTTCTGATATGCTAAAGGAGACACGCATTCACTCTCTTAAGCCATTCAGCGAAAGAGGATTGCGTATTTCATCTCGAGATGGTTCTTGCGATAGTTTGATTGTCAAGGGTATGATTGAAACACTTGTACACACTAATTGAACTAACATAAAGTAACTATTATTTATTATTAATAATACTCTTTACTTCTCTTTTTGTATTTTTAACAAATTTTTTTTACTTTAAAAGATAAGGATCAAGTGTCTGAAATAAACAAAACCATTTTTTTAGAAGAATTTAAAATCTTTGTATTTCTTCCACACACATACATTTTTAAACCTTTTTATCTACATGCGAAGCCTGCAGAAACTATGTGTTTTTACCAAGCGAATCATAAAAATTAATAAACTTATTAACTCCGATGTTTTTTGGTAAGTCATCTTCTGGCGGGTCGCTCGCTCTGATCACCATTCCTTTCATATTGGTTTCAATATCAACTTGTTTAGGAACTGAACTTTCTCCATTCACTTTTGAAACCGTTGGGGCCGCTGCGGTTTTTATTTCATTCGGTTCCTGAACAGTATAAACATTAGTTGGTGGTTTATATTTGATGATCACTTCGTCACTGTTAGTTTTTGGCTGTTCCCAGATTCGAAAGTATTTTCTGTATAAGTCATCCCAGAAATCCATTTTTTCTTTATCAACATCAGTTTGTAGAGTTAATTCAGAGCCAATGTTTAAGTAATAAGCATTGTCCTTGTCGACTGGTTGCCAGGTGATTGGTAGGTAATAATCTTTGTCAGGTGTCGGGTTTCTGTCAAATGAGAAATTGATTAACTTAAATAGTTGAATTGGTATTAACATTTTCTTTGCACAGAGAATCGTTTTAATCAGAAGTAAAGTCTTGGGAACATTGTTTGGGGATGAATGGATGAATGTTCCATATTTCTTTATGCAAAACGTCTGATGAAATGGTTTCTGAAATGTATAACTCTTTTTGTTGTAGGACGACCTTTACCGCTGTAAATGACACACATACTGACGAAGGTTTATGAGAAAAACTCAGAGTGGTGTACCACTCTAAGTTTTACTCATATAAATCAAAGTTAATAAATAAAAGTAAAAGTAAATATAAGTAAATAAACTACGATCTAGTTTGATCTTCACTTCTAGATATATTATTACATGTACATTTCAAATTCATTCATCTTCATTCATTCATTTCATATTTCAAATTTTATAATATTTTTGAACTAATATATGTAGAAGTGAACATCAAACTAGATCGTAGTTTATTTACTGACTAATGCCATAACAATAACATAATAAATTTCTTTTAAGAAACTGCCAGTAGTGCGGAGGTATTTTATCATGTATGTATTTTTTAATAGAATTGAGGGCAAACGAACATACAGGTCACGTTGACTGCTGCAGCTCATGGACATCTGCAGCTAAGAGTCACAAGCGTCTCAGGAAAGAATCAAGGAAAGAATTGCCTAACAATTGGTTTCCAGTGAGTCTGGTTATAAAATCATGGTTATTCCACGAGTAATTAAAAATGTGTGGCATTCCGGGAGTGCCGCCAGAAGTTATAACTTATATAATTATATACATAGGTGTTGGTACTGGGAACAGTGTCGCCGAGTTCAATTGTTTTTTCCCATCTTAATTAATGTCCCACGCCTAAAGAAGTTTTCACTTCAACAGGGGTGTCGGTAACGGAAACGGTTACAGAGTCACATTTAATACATTCTTTTATGTGTTGTCCAAAAATTTCCAACTCGCCTAAAGAAGTTTTTACTTCAAAAACTCACCCAAACTTAGCAAAGTTGGTCCATAGTTTCAGCATCCTCTCTCTGACCTTATTGTCTAGTTCTGAGATCGTCAAATCTTTCTGAAAAACATTTTTGAACAGGTAACCTAGATCATCCATATGCGCCGCATGATTATAGGGGTTCTTCATAATTTTGTCATAAATATTTAGTGCCCCGACGTAATCAAAGTTATAAAAGTAAATTGGTCTATTTGTCACTTGGACTAAATATTTCACCAATCTGTTGGTATCCACTTTTATGCTGCGGTCTGATAATAATCTGGCCATCCCTTCAGCGTGGTCACCTTTGAGGTATAAGTGTTTAAATTTCTCAACAATCTCTAAAGATTCTTTGGAGTCCTTTTTCAAATTGAACTCATCAGGGATGAAAAACTGAAGGTCGGGAATCTGTTCATCTTTAATGAACTCTAAAGTACAAAATCCTATCATCATTGGAATATCCGCTATCCTACCAGACGTCACTAAGTCCAAAAAGGATTCGGTAATAAAACCTTCTACTCCAGGAAATTCTTTTTCGAAGACAACAGTGAAGTAATTTAACTTTACGATTGTAAATTTTGTCGGATTCATTTGTTCGTGAGCTTCAACTATCTGTTTCGTGGAGCAACCTTGTAAGAAGACAAAAATATCTTCAGGATCATCCGACTGACAACCTAAAATCTTAGCGAGGGTTCTGGCATTTTGCAATGGATTCTTCTGTGTGGCAAAATAGTTCAATCCCGTTCCCGATTGCATAATCGCTTTATTGATCAAGGGTTTAGAAAGAGGGCTAACAGATAGAAAGCTAACTGCTGCACCTCCAGCACTCTCACCAAAAACGGTGATATTATTAGCGTCGCCTCCAAACTTCTGAATGTTGCTCTTTATCCATCTTATCGCCTGCACAACATCCTTCATACCAGCATTTCCTGGAACTTCAGGGATGTTTAAACTTAGGAAACCAAGAACACCACACCTGTAGTTCAAAGTAACAAGGACTACATCCTTTTCTATTAAGTAATCCGGACCATATATATCAGTGTTTCCTGAACCAAACTTAAAGCCACCTCCATGGATAGATACCATGACAGGAAGATCTGCTCCATCTAGCTTTGGTGAGTATATATTGAGAAATAGGCAGTTATCTTCGCCGACGTATTTGCTTTCAAGGGTAATCTGGGGTGCTATATTTCCTTCAGCAGTGGCGTTGTAAATGCCCTGCCATGGTTCAGGGGGCTGGGGAGCCTGAAATAACAAAAATAGTAATATAAAAATTGTTGCAAACATTAAATAAGTAATAACTTAACTGTAGGACACATCAGACACAATTTTAATAGATTATCTCTGAGCTTTTAAAATCTCTGGACTTTCTCCGGAGAATTATATCACCTTTAGGACCTACTCAAAAAGTTTTATCAAAATCTGTTAAGCGGTATAAGAGGCAGGCAGTGACAGTAAATACATACAAAATAACTAGGCATATACCTAAATTGTGTAAAAATAAAGATATTAGACAATAATCCGGCGACTTCTGTTTTTTCTATTAATTTTAATAAGAGGTTTTTATCCAAGAGGATACGCCAACCCCGTCATACCTGATCATACATAACACAACATTATCTTAATATTTTTCAGACATAACAAATAAAAGGATTGGTGATTGTTGTCTAACTATTAGGAGATTGGGCCTGTTAGGCTAGTTATTAATAATTCAGACGAGGCTAAGTCAGAGAGTATGAATATGACAGTTTATGTCTGAATTAGGCAAAATAGTGATCGTTATTTTGAAAGAAAGAAAGAAAGAAAATACGTTTATTAGCCATATCACACACAACAACAAAAATAGATATATAACATAAAAGAGAAGAAAAGAAAAGAAGCACTTTGCTAAACTAAAGAATAGCACAAACAATAACAAAACAAACAATTACGAAATAATAAAATTATCACTGTGTGTGACTAAAGGGCTACAACTCAGCCTTTGCTATGGTGCTTAAAAGTGACCACATTTACATCATCATCCTCTCGCCGAGTGCCAACTATCCTGGTCTTGGGCAGTCCATATAACGATCGGTATAAATATGATTATTATTCCTAAACTGGCCAGTTTCCTCGAAAACATAATTTACGTTAACACGACCATGCGATAGGTATTTTCCTTACCTTGAATCTCAAAGGTCCTATAGGAGGCTTAGCGTAAGGTATACCCTGGAAGCTAAAGAAGGTTTTTCCATTAGGGCTAGTTCCAACGCGACCCTGGAGCTGTCCCTGTTCAACTGTCACTATCGGCGCTTCAGACATTTTGCCTCCTCTGGAATCATGAAACGAAAAAAAAGGAGGTAAAACTCATTATATACCACTCAATCTAATAAATACAAAAATTGCTCAGTTTAAAAATATGATCGAATCAACTGGTGTGATACCATGGCCTCACAGAAAACTGGTGTGTGTAACAGTTTTTTTAATTGCTTTTCACCGAGTTAGTGAGGTTACCGGAGCAAACACCTGGCCTACTGACCTTCCCCCTGATTCTGTATGGGGGATTGTGACCATGGACGGTGGTAGTAACTTCCCATCAGGTGACCCATCAAGTATTTATGCCGAAATAAACAATATATGTTTAAAACTATGTTGTTATGTTGAATGACTAAAAGAGTTAATAAAGCCCTTATAAGTAGGCGGCCTGGTGCGGGCGCTAAAAGTCATACACGGAGCAAATCAACAGTTTACTTAAGAAGGGCCTCGTTGAAAGCACTCGTAACTATAGTTAAACCGCCGTAAGCTTGGCCCTCCTGATGGTTTGCGGGACGCGGGGCGGGTGATGCGCTCGGCTATACATGACACGATGTACTAACTCGATATCTTCAGATTTATTTGTTTGAGATTTAATCTACACACGATGTAATAAAAATCGAATTTATTTCCAGTATTAAAATGTCAGTGTATTGTAAGTTTTTATGATTAATTGTAAAATTTTAATACTGTAAAATAATTTTAATTAAATCACCTTATCTTCATCATATAAATTATAATATTCAGATACAATTTAAAAATTAAGTAAAATAATAAATATTCTTTATTAGAACTTTAACAGTAGAACCTCTGTAAGCCGAACTTCAAGTTTTTAAATCTTTTTGTAACGCAGAGTCGGCAGATTATCCATGTTGCAAAATAATACCGTGTGTAGCAGTCTTAAGAAAAATAACACGTACAGCCATGCTTTCACGTCAGTCACTGCCGGCGGACAGCGACGCACTAGCTCATTGGTTGAATGTACCCCCGCCCCGCGTCCCGCAAACCATCAGGAGGGCCAAGCTTACAGCGGTTTAACTATAACGAGCCTGTTTAAAAGGCCTGATGAATATGGAAGTGGTACGAGCTGTATATCAAGATCTTGACTTGTGGCGTCATCAACACATTAACAGCCTGTAACAGTCCACTGCTGGACTTAGGTCTCTCCTTAGAAAGGAGGTTTTGGCCTACTATACCACGCTCGCCAGACGGGTTGATATAGGGTTTGTGTCAAGTTCTCCTTCTCTTTGCAAATCTGTTGTCCTGCGTAGTTTGTTCCCTTAGTCGACTCTTACGACACCCACGGGATGAATAGGGGTGGTGACATTCCGTATTCTTATTCCGTCACCACACGGACCTATGACTAATGGCCTACCTACTATCATCTCTGCTATAAATCACTCTAACAGTTGGTAAAAACTGTTTCAAACGGTTACATCCTTTTGGAGTTTATTTTGTCTAGAAAGACAGACAGGATGATAGACATGTGTACACGACAGTACCACGATATTCCAAATACATTCTTATCACATAGATAAAGACTAAATTCAATGAAATTTGTTAGTATTTGGCGTTAATCATAAGTTAACTGTACTTATTTGCCTTGAATTTTTACGCTAGTCTTTAAAGTATATTAAATTTATTTCCAGAATCAGAATACCAAGACATACATTTTGTATAAGATTTTCATCTTATTGTCATTAGATTCTTAAATAAAGTATGTTACTAAAGCTAACATAAAACTAGTATATGATTATTCTAGAATGTGCAAGAGTTAATATAAAAAGTTAAAATCAAAATCTTACAAATTCTTATGCAAACGGCCTGAGCTAGGCGTGAGAGCTGTGTTTCAGGCAGTCCCTTGATTATAATGTTAGTTATAGGACGATAATATGTTCAGACTGGTTTGTATACAAAAATATATATTACTTATTGTTTAAAAACCTAATTATAGCTAAAATTATATCATTTTGGAATTGCTAAGATGTTTTCTGTGTCTGCGTAAATAAGCTTACCTAAATATTCTCTTACTAGAGTTTGACACTTTGTATACGATACGGCATATATTTTCAATACTTTGTTTATCTTATTATATACTCGTAGATATGGTGCTGAGAAGGGATAAAATTGGTTAATGTACGTATGCGTTGTATACTTTGACCACAATTAAACGTGATGACACCAAAATAGAAATAATAATAACTAACACATCTCACACACATCCCTCTGATCCCAAGCTAGCAGAGCCTGTACCAGACTGCCGATAAACATACATACGAGGGCGGGTCAATAAGTCGGTGACTTTTTGAATTTCTGACCTCTTTACTGAAAAAGCAACACTACTCCTGTCAACAGGCATCTGTCAGTTGACTCCTGTCAAAATTTGAACTTGCTGCGTCAGTTAGTTTGTGTTTGACAGCTATCTTTATCAGACTACCCAGTAATTTGAGAAAAAAATGGAAAAAAGTGAATTTCGTGTGCTTATTAACCATTATTTTTTGCGAAAAAAAAAACCATTACCGAGACCAAGGTGTAACAGTTATTTTTTTAGTATATTTGTAATGCGTACGGTCTTGTTAAAAGCGACACCTATTGGCCGCGTCGCATTGTTGTTGATTTATCTAAAGTAGTTTATAACTACAGTATTGATCTTCTTCGTTCACTGTCGGACCACTAGATGGCGTTTGTTTGTGGATAAGTCAGTTTATTGATTTGTCGTGACAAATTTTATAGGTATTGAGAGTGTTTTGTTATGGTAGAAAGCAAGTTACTTTTGATTTTGTTCGTGTTGTCTTCGTTCACAATTTAAATGTGAAAGTAAAATGTTGAGCAGGGAGTATTTCTGGAAGCTTCGGAAACCGAACATATATAAGTCCGGCTTTCAGCCACGGGAGACACTCTGCTATCTCGTGTCTTCCAATCTTAAATAGTGTTTTGATTGTCGTGTGATTTGATTTTCGTAATATATTATCTGTTCAAAAGTACCCACGAGAGTGGTGAGTATGGTCTTAATTTTTTTTGTACCTATTTGTTTCTGGAACCTGATTAATTATATGAGTGCTAATCCATTCGTAGGGTCCCAGATTCGGGGTCAAGACGGTTAGTCTCAGACGGCGTGCTTGCTCGTTTGTGGCCTTCTGGTTCGGATTCAAGTTTCTCGATACCCTCTGGCAAGCTGGCAATCACGCGGCTCACGAAGCAAGCGGACAGCCGTACCCAAGGGTTACGTACTTACTTATAAACTTATAAATACCAATTGTGAACTTTTCTCAATATCTAATATAAATAGCCGACTCGGGCGGAAGAGGAAGTAACTTCCTGGAGTGAAGACGAGGAGGCTCCGAGCACCATCAGCTCGGCTCTGACGCGCTCCGCTGCGGTTTTTCTTATACCCTCTGATTTTTTTTTTTATTGTAACCTTAATTTTGTTTTTATTGAAATATACATGTATGTATGACTGAGGTGTAAGTTGTTCCTCTAAGGAGTCCCGTAGGCTTCCCACACGCACACACTTCTGTTCTCATACAAGGCGCCCTGAGGTAATCTCTTGAATCTCTCCACCTGGGTCAGCCGGTGAGTAGTCCGCCTGAGAAGAAAAGCGGCTACAAAGGCTAAGCTTGATAAATACTATGGGGACTCTGCACCATCGATTTCAATGGTAAAAAAGTGGTTTACTGAATTTCGTTGTGGCCGTACAAGCACTGAAGATGCCGAACGTCCTGGACGCCCAGTTGAGGTCTCTTCACCCGAAACAATCGAAAAAATTCACGATATGGTGTTGGCCGACCGAAGATTGAAAGTGCAAGAGATTGTGGAAGCCGTAGGGATCTCGCATGGCTCAGTGGTTTCAATTTTGAATGATCACTTGGGCATGAGAAAGCTTTCCGCAAGATAGGTGCCGCGATTGCTCACAGTCGACCACAAACGCAATCGTGTAACAACTTCACAGGAAGGTTTGGCGTTGTTTAATCGCAATATGGAGGAGTTTTTGCGCCGTTTTGTAACCGTGGACGAAACATGGATCCATCACAACACACCAGAGACCAAACAACAGTCAAAATAGTGGGTTTCTAAGGGTGAATCGGCGCCAAAGAAGCCCAAGGTGGGTTTGTCAGCCAATAAAGTTATGGCGACTGTCTTTTGGGATGCACGCGGGATAATCTACATTGACTACCTTCAAAAGGGAATAACAATCAATGGGGAATATTATGCCAACTTATTGGACCGATTCAATGACGATTTGAAACAAAACCGACCTCATTTGGCCAAGAAAAAAGTTCTTTTCCACCAAGACAATGCAAGGGTGCACACATGTGCAGTTGCCATGGCAAAAATCCATGAATTGGGCTATGAATTGCTCCCTCATCCGCCCTATTCTCCAGATTTAGCTCCGAGTGACTACTTCTTGTTCCCAAACCTGAAGAAATGGCTTGGTGGAAAAAGATTTGATTCCAATGATGAAGTCATCTCGCAAACAAAGGCCTATTTTGAGGACCTCGACAAATCATATTTTTTGGAAGGAATAAAAAAATTTGAGAAGCGTTGGACAAAGTGTATAGAGCTGAAGGGAGACTACGTTGAAAAATAAAATGATTTATTTATCAAAAAATCTGTGTTTTATTCCAAAAGTCACGGACTTATTGACCCGCCCTCGTATCTATCTATGACTGCCTCAGTGGTGCAAAGGTCGGGTATGCGACTTCTGTGCTGAAGTCTCGGGTTCAATTCCCGGGTCGGACCAAACGTTTGTATGATCTGCAAATATTTGTTTCGGAGTTTGTGTGGTATTTATTTATATTATAAAAAAAGTATCTAAGTATTCTATCAGTCAATCTAGCTTTCATAGTAAGCTGCTTAGTTTGAAACTAGATGGTGTTGTGTGTCAGATGTCCGGAACATTATTATACATTATTTTTTATTTCCAAATACATAAATTTCATAAATAAATTACACCCAGAACCAGAAAAAATTATGGTGCTCGGCGCACAGTATTTGTCCTGGGTGGAAAACCTTTTGGCATCAACCAACGTCAAGGTTATTACTAACTATGCACTAAATAATATGTAATTATACATAAGCGAGGCAAAAATAGACTAATTACTCGTACTACCGGATCCCCGCTCCTCTGTCATGCTCCCTACCTGAACTCCCATTTTTTGTTCTATCCTGTGCGGAAATTCCCTCGGATATCACCCACCGGTGGGGTGATTATGTCGGACTCGAACCGACAAAAACCGCACGCCATCTCGGGTACTATTAGCCGGGGGACCAGGTGTATCCTAGAAAGGAAATCCTGACAGAACTCCCCTAAAATTGTGTAAACAAAGTTACTTTCTGATAAATGCCACTTCATCCTACCTTCTTTAAGTCTACTAGGAGACGATTTTTTACGCGGAACGATTTTTTTAGGGCTCTTACTATCCGTTGTGACGGATTAAGCATAGACCAAAATAGTAATGTTGGTTATGTCCGTGTGGTGACGGATTAAGAATACAGAATGTCACCAACCCTATTCATCCCGTGGGTGTCGTAAGAGCCGACTAAGGAAGCTAACTACGCAGGACAACAGCACTGCAAAGAGAAGAAAATTATATATATATATATATATATATATATATCAACCCGTCTGGCCAGCGTGGTATAGTAGGCCAAAACCTCCTTTCTAAGGAGAGGCCTATGTCCAGCAGTGGACTGTTATAGGTTGATGATAATGATGATGACTACCCGTTACGATTGCCTCAGATTTTCGTAGAACAACAGCGCTGAAAAGAGAAGGAAAACTTGAAATAAACACTATACCAACCCGTCTAGCAAGCTTGGTAAAGTAGGCCAAAACCTTCTTTCTAAGGAGAGGCCTATCTCCAGCAGTGGACTAGTAAAGGCTGCTGATGATGAAATAAAAATAATAATTATTACACTTACCGAATTCAGTCACTATGTGTTGATACAGATTATGAACTGAGTACAATATCGTTGATAGCGTACAGATAATATAATGACTATCAAATTGATATAAACGTTTTCGTACAATCACGTCAGTTTAATATATCTCTGAACTGATAGCAATTATATGTGATACACAAGAATAATTATACACTAACTAAAAACTGCGACTACGTCCGATTGGAACAATAATTAAAACATGTTATAAATTATTAATTTTAAAAAATGCGTAACCGACTTCGATGTCCCTGATTTACGACCGAAATGACTGCTGAATCTCCGACCGGGACATTTCGGAACAAAAATCACTTTAACCATAGATTTTTTTGTATGAAACTTTTGCAATTTGTACGTTATAGGTTTGGAACTTTTAAGTTTCATTTTTTAACTAAATAAAGTGGTAAAAAAAATTTGATAAACAATTTTTTTTTTATTTTAAGAGTGCAATGAAATCAAAGAAAACATTATTTCCGCATTGTGACCTGGGATCATCATTGAGAGTCCTGAGATAACAAATCAACGCTGTCTATCCAGAACATCACGAGCCGGGCTGTCACATGCCATTCGGGCATCCACCTACACCTAGCCACCCAACAGGGTCAAATGGAATTTGACCGGGACACCGGGACATAGCGCTTCAAACTGGGACATATCCCGGTGTACGGCAACGTATGACAGCCCTACCCAAATTTCATGTATGTATGTATTTTTTATTCCTATTGTCCATGTATTGAAGGAGTAAGAATTTATAGTATCACTACCCCTGTCAAATGTGTAATGGAACAGGTATTTAAAAGTTTGGCGAGTTTAAGTCATCCTGATCTTGAAACGGTCGAAAGGTTCGTCCTGTTGGTGTCGTAAGCGCCCACTAAGGGAGGAAACTACACAGGACAACAGCACTGCAAAGAGACGGCGTGTTTTTGACAAAACTTTGACACAAACCCAATGCATATCCGTCTGTATAGTAGGCCAAAACCTCGATTCTACGGAGAGGCCTATGTATCAGTGGACTGTTAAAGGCTGTTGATGATGAGGATCAATCTTTAACTTTAGAAATCGATTTCAATGCGACTACATCATGTATTCATTCTTTATTCCTAGATTGTGCGTGCTTTCCATTGCGTAAGTGGCGTACTAATCTACCGTCAATTTTCCAAAATGAGTCGGGTACGACTCAACTCAAAACTTTAGACCTTCAGTCTCACGCAACTGTTCTAGGTCTAAATTGGGATCCGTCTATCCGTCTAAATCCACATTCTTAATCCGTTACCACATAGATCGTCACCACCACCACAGGATAAGTTGTTACACCGCAATTCGCTATATTTTCGTTAGATGGGGTTAAATTATGTTTATGTTTCGTTGTGTTGTATTATGTTTATGTGCTAAATTATAGGTTTGTGAAAATTTTCTTGTCGTTCATTCGCATTACATGTAACAAAACATTTTTATCATAATCGAAATAAGTTGCAATAAAACCGTTAAACAAAACAACGAACGAATTACTAGTATTTTATAATAGCTCCTATTTACTAAACTGTGATTATAAAAGTGCAAATAATACGTGGTTATTTGAAATAGGTCAGCAAACTGGTTCAACCGCAATTGGTCTCAAAGCTGGCGAACGTGTATGACTTTTTATCGCTTTTAATCTTTATCTACGAGCCCACCAATACAATCATAGCCTAAGTTCATATTTTGATTGATCGCGATGCCGAAAACCCTTCTTTATTTGATGCTATATTTCTAAGTTAATATTACGAAACGGTCATTTGAAACGGAGTGACTATAAAAGCGTTTAAAACTGTACAGAATGTCGCACTTACGAAGAGAAGAATATGAAATGACAATAGTGGAGGCAAGTAATTCTGCAATTGACAATGAGTTGGTTGTAAATCCTCGGAATCTCATAAGGCAGGCCTCAGCTTGCTACGGACAAAAGATCGAAGAGCTTAACGTGATAGAATCTGAGGATGTTCACATCGGTATCAGTGTTATCTCCGTATCGCAGAATGTCGAAAACATTGAGCTTGCCAGAGGTGAGTGTGAAATAAAGAATGCCTTTATATTTTACTAATCCATACTAATATTATAAATACGAAAGTATGTCTGTCTGTCTATCTGTCTGTTACCGTAACACGTCTGTTGTAACGCTTAAACTGCTGAATTTATTTAGATGATCTTTGGTATGGAGACAGTTTGATTATAATGGAATTAAAGATAATAATGGTTACAGTGGGTTATCGTTAGGAGATAGACATACACCATTGCGGACTTTTTTGTAGATATTCTTAAGATATACAATTCCGTAGTACATTATTTTGGTAGGTATATCTCGTAAGATGTAGCCAGCGTTTGCAATGCAAACATGTTTTTACATTGCAATGCAAAACATTCACCGCACACCACACTTGCCACTATGAGAGTCCAAGTTCTAGGGCAACAATATTGGTTTAAGTTGTTGAACCCAATCTAAATCGTTGAATTATCTAGTTGCCTTCTTTGTCATCTTCATCAGTAAAACATGATCTGAAACAAATCAGCTCGTCTTCTCTCTTTAAACAGAGCCGGTCGGTCTACGTCGTCGATAGGCTCCCTCCAACACAATAACATCCGCCACTTGATGGCCGGGAAAGCGTGCTATGTATTCATCCACGAGCCCGTGTGGATACGCATTGGCAGTATCCGTAAGAAATCAAAATATGAACATATAGTATCATCTCTGACAATATCAGAAGCACAAATCAAAGTTCAATAAGCAATACTCATGAATAGAAAACGAAACCGGGTTGTACGCTAATTCTTAATACACCCGGTCTTTCATCTAAGTTTTTTTCTATGAATTATTATACTATACTATCCTAATACCTTGTTAGATAGCTTGTCAGCTAATTTACGTTAGTCATACGTAAATTTTTTAACATATCTCTGCAGTTTATTTTCATGGTTTTTTTTTAGCATTCGTCAAACAAAAAAAATTATTATTTACAATTTTTTGTTATTTTTGCTATAATTAACTATCTACTTCGGCCCAGTCGGTTAAGTTAACTATAATTTTAGTGATGGAAATTATAAAACAATCTATCATCTACACAGAAATAGTAAAAAAACATAAAATAAGAAATAAAAGTTTTAAAAAATTGGCAATTTTTTTATAAAAAATCTTAAAAAATGCAATATCTTGAAAATGGTTAGGTAAGGGATATAGTATTTGTGAAATGAAATCTATCAGAAATGATGGCAACTACAACCCCTAAAGTATTTAGGTTGACTTACCCAGTAACCCCGTATATGTAATGTTACTAAGCATGTAAATGACACGTATACTTAACCAGACCGAAGTGATACTATGGTTTTACAGAAAACCGGTGATTGACAATCAAAACAATGCTTTTCACCGAGTCTCGTTAACTCTCGATACAAAGCCGCAAGGGCTCTCGCTTCCAGGTAGTAAACCCTATACTAAAAAAAACACAATCTTATTCATATTAAAACCTATCAAACGATGTTTCAGGATGTGCTTTGGGTGCTGAGCTGGTAACAAATCAAAAAAGAAAAGGTGTTCGATGTAGCATAGCCGTATTCCTGTGCTGGACTTTGGTGATTACCGGTGTTCTTATATACTTCGTTTTCTACTTCGCCCTGGCCCCGAAACTTAGTCGTATGGATCTTGGTATGCAGCTAAATTGTATATTTATTTTTAATAGCAACATAATATTCTTCATTCCTTAACTTTCATGCTTAAGGGCACTTCTTATCGAATTTGAATCGAAACAAACGGTAAGTATACTCATCAAATAATAATAAATATTTATTCTAATTCTGTTGATGAATGACGGAGTTCTGACTTAACAGATCTGATAAAAAAAAAACTTTGTGTGAAGTTCGGTTAAAAATTGTTTTTTTTTTGTTATAGATATTGACGAGCCATGGTACTTTAGACGCGATCAGTGGTATGCAAATCCTGACCAGGGATTTGAGTTACTGGATCTTCCTGTTTCTTTGGTACTTATAGGGCATTCGGCGCTCGACTTTTGCACAAAAATAGACGAATGCAAACGTAAAGTGTTAGATATACAAGAGATACATCAGTTAGACAGTCACTTTTATGATATAGGCCCCAACTTCCTTGTTGGTGGCAACGGATATGTATTTGAAGGCAGGGGAGCGAATATCATGGGCGCCATGATAACTTATTTCAACCTTAAAAGCATAAGTATTATGTTTCTCGGAAACTATGTGTACGACAAACCAACATTAGCGATGTTTGATAATCTTAGTGTTCTTTTGCAAGAATTGGTAAATAAACGAGTGCTGACCACAGATTATAAATTATACGGCCAATGTCAGGTGATTGGCTTCGTTGTGCCGCCAGGGCCCAACGTCATGGATAACTTACACCATTTTGATCATTGGGATCCAACGAACAAAACTTTTTGTATTCGCTCATAAAATGTTTGGCATAAAAAGGATTTCAGTTTCGAAAAACTTCGTATTCAAAATATAGATGAAGGTATGTCTCTCATTAGAGAGAGAAAAAAGATGTTACGCTTAAGTGAAAACGAGATGAAGACTGATTACTATACTAAGTAACTTTAATAACCTTAAGAAATTTGATTTATTTTCCAATTAGTATTAACTGCTTTACATATAATTGATGTGTTATAAAGGAGTTGACCAATTTGTTGTGCCTAAGAGTGGACAGAGTTCATGTTTTTGTATAAAAAAAAAACTATCCCTGCAAACTAAGACAGTGCTTGTGCAGTCTCTGATCTTCCCCTTAATTGATTATGGTGACGTGAGCTATTACGACCTGAATGCAGATCTTCTCAACAAATTAGATCGTCTTCTCAACAACTGCATTCGATTTATCTTTAATCTTCGTAAGTATGACCATATCTCTAGTTTTCGTTCCCAGCTAAGGTGGTTACCAATTCTGTATACTATCCTCAATTCCCCATCCCCTCCTACTTATTTAACTCCACAAATTCAACTACGAGGACGAGTATTATGCAATAACTATAACAGAAAAATTCGTTCGTCTAACAATCTCCTTCTACTTTGTCCTTCTCACACTCATCACCCCATAGTTATATAATAATATTTTAGTTACATCAAATGTGTATGTGTATTTATGTGCGTATGTGAATATAAATATACGTATGTAAATTTATGTAATTTTTTTTAATCCGGGTATATATTTGTGCATGAAGTTATAAATAAATAAAAATAAATGATGAATTTTGAATGACTTCATAAGTCCGTTGCAGATTTAGAGAAAAGTTAACAAAAAAGATTTTGAACCATGCCAGCTGTTTGAATTCACTTTGGAAGTATTTTAGTTGCCATATAATATAATAATAATAATAATAATATTTTCACACATTTCACACACGGCCGTCTGATCCCAAACTAGGCAGAGCCTGTACTATGGTAACCAGACTGCTGATAGACATACACATATATTATGTATGTAGTACACCCAGACACAGAACAAATGACCGCGCTCATCACACAATTATTTGTCCTGGGTGGGAATCGAACCCACGACCTCTGGCGCAGCAGTCAGGATCACTGACCACTAGACCAACAGGCCAGTCAACATAATAATAATATTGAATCAATACATGCGTTCTATTTTAAAATCTAACGTTATTGCACTATCTTTTCATTCGTATAATATTTATTGTTACATTATCCGTTATACGAAATTAATAATTAATTACTCCAAAATAATGGAGAACAATTAGTAATAGACATACTTTGATGGCGAAAAATTGTATGAGCATGTTGTTGAGTGCAGCACTCAATACTTTAACACACTCAACATTTTAAAGATTCATACAATTTCTGGCCATCTCCTTTTATAACATTACAAAATCTTAAAAAAATAATTTAACTTATTAAATCTTACATTACACTAATTAAATCTAATGCAAATTATTGCCTGTATATATTCTACGAAAACAAAAGCTTTTGCAATTTTACTGTAAACTATCAGTTTCAGAGCATAAATTATTGTTAAGTATTAAAATTCTTAAGTATTAAAAGACAACTCCCTATTAAGAATTTATCCTGTGCCGCGGGGGACTTTACAAACATACATGAAACGGACACAAAGAATACCCAGACTCAGAACAACAATTTGTGGATCACACAAAGTGTCGGTTCGTTCCGTGCCGTGCCGTCTAGTTATTCTCATTCTAATTAGTTGAAAGGTTAGAGGTTTAGAGGTTATATTGAAAGACTTGTCCAAAAAACAAGATTAGTTCATAGACGGGTACAAAAATGATGCTAATACTATCCTAAAAAAAAAATACTACCGTCACAGGTTGCGTTGATGCGCGGTTGATGTTAGGAAGTTATAAATATATTAATCGACATGAAAACTTTCACTGCGCGAAATAGGATTAGCAGTTACTCCGTAGTTCGGTGTCTTTTCGTTAGATGGCATTGATGGTGATAACAAGATGGGATCGTATGTGGAATTCGGCTCAAGTTTGTGGACGGGTCAGATTCAAATTCGTGTGCCATCATGAAACACTCGCTCACAGTCCGTTCATTTGAACATATTGTTACGAGCGGGGTATATAATAAATAAAAGTTGTCGGTAAAATTACTTTATTGCACTGTATTTACAAACACTCACTATAATAAACAAGAAATCACTCGTTAGTCGCACTAAAAATTCACTCCGATGTTAAATCGCTATGTCGTAAAACGAAGCTGTCTCCAACGGCCAACAATGGAGATTGCTTTTATTAGAAAGAATTACTAGAATTTACTATAAAGATCCCTAGTATTCGATAGTCCGTTCCAGACTAACAAGAATATTCCAGAATCAGTCACGCGTTACTTGCATCGCCATACTAATTTAATCCTATGGCGCGACAATATATTATCCTTATTCATGTTCTGTTATCGAAATGCTCAGTCAGACATTCATGTGTAATCGTACAAAGAAACCTAATCGAACAGTAGATCAGATAATTTTTGATAAAAGCCAAAACTAGAACAATTTGAACATACCTAGATATTTTTATTTTTTACATTGTACGTCATTAGTCATAGACCACTGCTGAACATAGGTCTCTTCTTAAAAAGGAGTTTTTCGCCAAGATTTGCTTCGGAAGGTACCTGCATTCAGTCGCTAGGAGGGAATTGAGTCCCGCCTGTCACCACTGCGATTGCAGTGAGGACTCGGCTCAACACACGCTGGCAATTTGCCCAGCTTGGGTGTCGCATCGTCGAGTCCTCGTTGCAGTCATCGGAGGGGATACACTCCATGTCGTACACTCCATGGCCGGCAGCGACAGATTTTTTACTGCGGTCGCATACTTCTGTGAAGATGTCATGTCACAGAAGGAGGCGGCGGAATGTAGTTTTTCTTTCCTTTGCAGTGCTGTTGTCCTTCGTAGTTTACCCCCTTAGTCGGCTCTTACGACACCAATGGGATAAATAGAGGTGGGGACACTCCGTATTCCTAATCGGCCACCACACAGACGTCACATTTTACGTAAATAAATATAATTAAGTATTAGGTACTTCATAGTTTTATCCCCGGCTTTGTTCGTGTCACAGTTTTTTTCTCCTTCGAGAACAACAGCTATTTTTCTCTCTATATTAGTAAAGACATTCAAATGCTGAATCTGTATATCACTCTAAATCATGTTTTGCTTGGGTACGCGGTATACTCTGTCTACTCCCTTTCCTTGTTAACTAACAGTTAACGTAACTTAGTCAGTTTGCATGATTAAACATTAAAACTTTTTTTAGAAAAAAAGAGTACAAATCAAAAAACCGTTCAGGTACGAGTCGAACACGTGCGGCGAGGTTTCCTTGAAGCTGGTTGTATATCGTGTCAAAATTTGAGCTCAATCGGTACAGAACTTTTTGAGTTTTTGAAGCGTACACAAACCAACTTAACATTTTTGATTATATATAGATACAAATTCAATGAAAATATAAGGAAATAAGGAATTTTAAACGAGCTGCAACCACCGGCAACCTGGTTCTTCATGAAGTTGTCCGCCAACAATATGGTCCTACACTGCACTTTTAGTTCAACACGTTCACAGTGCATGTACCACATGTGGGCCACTATGAAGACATCATCACACGTGCGTGCACCACAAATGGGCCACGAGTCTATCTCAATTGAATGCTTTTGTAAGTTTGCACGTATCCTGCATCAATTTTTTTGACATAACACGTATGATCAATGAACCACTATTATATATTTCTAAGTGCGCTAGTATTCCTAAGTTCCTATTCCTAAGAATTTATTTCTAATAAGATCACTTAAATATAACAACAACAATTTTTAAAGCTAATAAAAGGTGCAAGAAAGTGAAAATTAAATAAAATTAAGTTAGAATATTTACAACATTAACACTATCTATATACAAGCATCAAAAAATTCCTCCGCATCATCGCCTACTGGTAGCGTTCCCAGAAGACTGGCAGCATTGCCACGTTGAATGGCAATGCTAATTCTCTGTGCTAGAAAAAGACCAGCCTTCTGATCACGAGAAGTGTCAATCAGTAGTTTAGCTAGCTGTTTATATATAAGTAGTACGAGCATTTGGACCACATGACCCTAAAGTTTCGACCCCAAACGGTTCAAAAATGTAATTTCCTACTAATTTCTGATATTTACGCCGTTTGAGGGTTTCTGCAGATGCAGCAGCAGCGCCGGCATAACCAACAGTGCTTGGCAAATGTGATGGCGCAAGGATGTCGACGCAGGTTGCGTCCCACACCAAAGGCTTACCTATCTTCCATGGCAGTAACGACATATCGTCCGGTCTTTTCCCATCGTCTCGAACCAGACCATTGGGTTCACGTACAGCTGGAACGCCGGCGGTAACAAGAGCCCGACGGATAATGTCGTTAATATTGGCATGTCGAGATATACGGACAGCGCTTCTGCTACAAGAAAGGCCATGATGTCTAAGACTGTCAACAGCTTCTCCGCAGTGACAAAGATGCGGAGAAACACAAGGCGCACCTAAACGAAGACAAGTGGCAAGGCGAAATGTAACATCGTCCAACAAAGTGCCTATGTTGGGCGATGGAAGTGCCTGAATCCATAAGCCTGATTCCCATTGTCCCACAGCTAACAAACGAGCGCGCTCAGCAAGATTTATTGCTGTATTGATCAATGTTTTTTGTTTTAAAATACATAGTGGCGCGTCCCATTGTCTCTGAGAGGATGGATTAACAGGTAATATTGTATTGGGACAAGCTATCCGCCAGGCATGTATGGCGTCGGCCTTGCAAGACACTTCAGAATCAACCAGTATGTATTTATACCAGCTTATTAGAATTTTGCTGGTTTACTCTTCTGTGCCATGGACCGAAGACAGAAATGCTGGAAGGCTGACATCTACAATTTTGCGTACTCCAAGACCACCCAGATGAACTGGTAAGGATGCTTGGAGCCAGGTTCGATCATTAAAAGCTATATTCAACACTTTACTGAGAGTGTTTTGAATAATTTTGTCAACTTTTTCTAAAAGTGATGGGTGTTTCCAAAGTGGGGATGACCGAAGTGCATGTATAAATTTAGGTACAAATAGACAAAAACGGAGTATAGTAAAAGGCGAATGGACATTAATTTTAAGTAAAAGATCCGAAAAATCACCAAAAATTTTAATTTTGTCCTCTATAAAACATTGAAAACCATCTTCCAAGACTGGACATCCAAGAAGGCGAAGAGATTTTTTTTCTAAAAGTTTAATGTTGGGTGCTAATGAATTGAATTTTTGTACAGTCGCTAGTCTGTCTGTATTGTCACAAATAAAAATTTAGCATTTGTCAGAGTTGAGTTCTAAGCCAATGGATCTAAATGTTTTTTTTTAAGAAAAACTTGTAAAACTGTATCTCCCCTCCTAGAGTTCCATCGTCAAGGTACCAAATGTTAAATTTAGACTTTACCTGCTCAATACTAGGGTTTATTGCTAAACTGAAGATAACTGGTCCCAAAGGCTCACCTTGTTTACATCCGACACCCGAGTCCAAAAGATTATCCTTGTAAATAAGTTTTGTTGGATATCTATAACATTGCCAAAGAAATTTATAAATTTTAGGGGTTTCCAATTTTGCTTGGGTCAACAAAATGTCCTAAGTGTGTGTGTGTGTGACTGTAGTGGTGATGGAAACGTGGCCCAAATAGCAGGTCTGAAGGAATGCATAGACTGTTTCTTTTTACTTTTTAATTGATTAAAACTAACTTAAAATTAAATAAAATGTAGATATTTATTATCATTAAAGTCTTCTGAATATTATTTTGATGCTGCTTTCACTGAGTGCTGACGTTTCTGACTGACTGACTGACAGGCAACTGTCTGAGCAGGAGCCCCAAAAACTCAGTGAGGCTTTTGTATGGTGTTGTCTGTTGTTTTAAAGAATTAATACCTTACATCAGGGTTTGTGGTTGGCGCTTGGTTTTAGGACCGAATGAGCAGACGGGTCAACTGATCATAAGTGTTCAAGAGTCACAAGTGCTTTGCCGCTCTTTGAAAAGAAGCAACAACTAGAGGGGAGAAACACACTGAGAGAGAGAGGAGTACCCCCTCCGGGTTCTGGTAACCTCACTGACTCGGTGAATTGCAACGGAAGAATTGCTTAGCACTGGTTTTTTATGAGCCGCTGATGAAAGACGAAAACATGGCACGGTTGAAGTGGTTTTATATTATCAATTTTTCTTTGTACTATTTTTAACAAATTGCCCTAAAATACTATTTGTTATATATACTTCAATTGCTTCACTTATTAGTAAGCAATAAAATATTTATTTGTAAGTTATTATTGCTATGTAGGCTTGTAATGTTAATTCATATTTTATTATCTTACTGGTGGTTTTGAGTGTTTCCACGGCCTACCCAAATGTCCTGCTGGCGGTATTGTCATGCTTCGGGTCGTTGATCTTGACCAATATCGGTTAGGCTACAAGATGGCTGGAGCCTGTATGCCGTCTGTATGGACAGGCTGCCTCAAAACTATGGTCCTTTCCTCAAAAGGCCTATCCAGACCCTATACTGTACTCGCACAGTTTTATTTAACGTGTTTACGGACTTAAAAAAAAAAAGACACCTCTGTGGTTTGTTTCGGCGTTTCTTCCCAGAGTGAGTCTTAGGAAATGCCGGCTCCTTCTAGCTATAAAGTCCGACTTGTAAAAATATCTGAAAAGATTTACTTACAGAAATAAATATCATTTATCATTTATTTATCATTTATAATCCAGTACAGTTGCGCATGCTAGGTGGCGGTACAGAGGCGCACATAGACAAAACAAATTTAGCTCTGCGAGTGAGTGAGACAGTGAAAGAGATCAACACGATTGCGCGATGCACTGTTAATAATTACTTATCTCCCCCATTTTATCGCCGATTGGAAGCGCTGATAACATGTCAATATTACTGGTAGGTCCCAACTTGTAAACAGTTTACTAACACTGCATTTTTTTGACGATCACTTTAAAATTATATAGTTATTTCCAATGTTGCGCGCGCGTGAAGAAGACTATCAAGTGGCAGGGCCTTCTACGAGCACTGAAGTGGTGCCTGTCGACCAGTTGTCCGTGGACCGTCAACAGCTCATCAGGCAGGCCGCAGCGTGCTATGAACAAACCGTTAAAAACATCAACGTGCTAAATTCTGAGGATGTCCAAGTCGGACCCAAGTTTATCTCCGTATCGCAGAATGTTGAAAACATTGAGGTGGCCAGAGGTGGGTTAGATGTAAGGCATTCCTTTTTTTTTGTAACTCTGAGTTGGTCTACGGTGCATATGAAGCTCTTCATCGGGTATATGAAAACTGAGTGGTATTCTATAAAAATAAATAATAATATGTATCAACATATGTGTGAGTATATGTAAACAAATACTGACATTCCATTTTATACTACTTCTAATTTTCATTTTCAAATGAAAATTGTGTAATGCCGAAAACAATACCATATATACTAATTATATTTGATATCTTGGAGCTGATCTGGTGACTAGTGGTACTGATCAGTTGCTAATAGCATCTCTGAGGGCTAATGTATATCATTATTTTTATTATCTCGATTTTATCTTGCCTTTTATCTATACAAGTATTTTTCTGACACTGAAATTCATTCAGTTTTCTAACACCCACATAATAGAAAAGGATTTAGATACATTTTCAATTATTCCTGTACCTCTGAAACATTTTTATGGATCCTAAGTTTACCTGGAAGAGATTACATTCAGTAATAAGGTCGCCCTTTGTACAACGAGTCTGACACACTGTTTGATAATGATACTGTTGTGAAAATGTCACACAATTAAAAAGATTCTCCACTTATATTTTTATCTCTCTCACACAACAATAACATTCATAAGTGTTTCGCCTAATGTCAAATTTGAAGTGACATGCCTTTGTTCGTCGTTTATATTGATATTGCCGTGTTGCCATGGTCTTATCTTTATATTATCTACCAACTGGGTATTTGTTTACTATCTTTGTATATTGCAACAATAATTTTGTATTCATAATTTTTTTACTCTCTTACCAATTTTATCTGTGATTGACGCAATGTGTTATGGTCGACGTATGGAGTGTAGAGGTCAGAAGAATAATATTTGTGTAAAAAGTGTCTGTCAAAATGCGTAAAAGTGGGGGCGCTACAGTCACATCAGCCCAAGTTAAAAATTATTAGTGTAGGATAGAGAAATAAACATGGGAAGAAAAACATTGCGAACTTTACTCTGCCTAAACTGCTATGTTTATATCATTTCCTTTGCCTACACTAGCGCCATTCTGGTCGATTCCAGAACTGTTATAGGCTACTTTTCCTGGACACTTATTCCGTTTCCGTTTACCGTCTCTAAAAGGTAGGGCTCCTTATGTTTACACTCCATAGGTCGACGTCGCGGCTGTTTTGTAGTTGATGGCCCTTGATGTCCGCCTTGTTGATGACAGTCCTTCTTAGGAATGTAATCGTTGTTTTTGAGACCAAAAAGAGGGTAAATTGTGGTAAAAATGCGATAGGGAACTAAGGTGAGGACTACCATAAGTCTCAAATAGATATTTCCAATTGCTCAAATTTACTTCTTATTAATTTCGTTACGGGTTTCAAGATAGTTTAACTATCTGAATGTCATAACTTGGTGTGTTCGTAGGCTACTGCTGTTGATTTCTGGTGTACAGGAGTTACAGTGTGGGAGGGATTTGTTCAATTAAAAAAAATAAGAGAGAATACAGTAGCTCTACAGAGACGAGACCAGAGTCCATCCATTGCTGAAAAATTATCTAAAGTAAAATAAAAACCAGAATCATTACAAACCAGCAATTTTTTTTTTTTTTATATTTTACATATACCCACTCTCAAAATTAAGACGAATTTAAAGACACCTCAAACGCCAATATCCATCAAGCCGTTTAGACTACAAAGCGTGCCAAAAAATATTCACACATACACTCTAAAATCATAACCCTCGTTCTGAGCCAGGCGTTTAATTACACCCGTGCCAAGCCGCATCTGGTCATTAGTCGTACCATACATACACACGTGAACTATCTGACGTTAGACCAACAGAAGGCCAATTCTCGTAATAAAAATTCTGTCACAATTCAATTCCGATCAACTTTCGATCTCACAACTGTCAAAAAAGATATTTCCTTAGTAAAGTATTAGACATCCGACACTGGCTGTCACATCACATCAACAGCCTTTAATAGTCCACTGCTGGACATAGGCCTCTCCTTAGAAAGGAGGTTTTGGCCTACTATACCACGCTGGCCAGACGGGTTGGTATAGGGTTTGTGTCAAGTTTTCCTTCTTTTTGCAGTGCTGGTGTCCTGCGTTGTTTTGCGCCCTTAGTCGGCTCTTACGACACCCACGGGATGAATTGGGGTAGTGACATTCCGTATTCTTAATCCGTCACTACACGGACAACTACACGGACATTGGCTGTAATGTGATTATTTCGTATTGTAACTAAAAATTGAATCGCCAATCGCTAGTCTTAGTAACAACTTTACAATATTGACTGTCTTGATTTGCTTGAGAAAATATCTTTTGACGTGCCATCTAAGTCTCTTCATTCAATCCCCTTCTTCACGTTCCTCATGCTAAAACAAATTATTATTATTATTTTATTTACACTTTATGCACAAATGTGACAAAGGTGGACTTAATGCCGTAGGCATTTTCTCCCAGTCAACCATATTGCGATGCAGAGCAGCATGCATCGCCCTATGGTTGACAGAGCAGGGCAGAGATGCAGGGCAGAGGTAAAACATGCACAAAAGCAATTAAATATAGCATATATAGGATATCATATACCCAGAGTACTTACATTAATTACATTACAATATTTTTTAATAAATAATACATTTACAATAAGTGATAATAATACTAACACACACAATACATAAGTATTTATATTTAAGTACACATAATAAATTCTAGAAGAGAAAGTAAAAAAAAAACCCGACAGAACAGCTCCTTGGTGTGCGAAAGCAGAAACTTTAATTTTTTATGTGAACAGCATGAGATTGATGCCTTTTTTATTAGTGTGTCCTCTGTAAGAAAGCTTGGGCGCGTAACATAATATTTTTAATAAGGTATAATGTATCATTGTGATAGTGGCTTACACAGTCACCGTGATTTTCCCCGCCCAGGTACTGTGTAATTTTGGTGATTTTTTATTGCTTGTTTGTCTGTTTTTTCTTGTTTTCCTAATCCATTTGCTTACAGCAACTTTTGTTAGTTTGTAACTAGAAGTGAAAACTGGTAATTGTCTCTCAGATGATTACCTAATTGTGTCATTCTTACTCATGTTTCCAAGTTTTCCATGTATGAATTAAATAAATAAACACTCGAGTCTTAGTAATATCGAGATATAATAGGAACTGAATTTTGACTGAACTTTTATCACGAGAACTGGCCTTGAGATTGCACTGGCCGTGAAGGCTGATTACATCTCTTTTGATACGTTGTTTCAGGTCGTATTCTGGGTCTTCAGTTGGTGTCGCGACAAATGAATAAACCCCTACGTTGTAGCGTCGCTGTCTTCGTCTGCTGGACTCTTGTAGTTGCTATTATCCTGATAAGCTTCATATTCTACATGGTTTTTAACAAGAACCCCACTCGTTTAGACCTAGGTAAGTGATATGTATATTCACACCTAGATACCGCAAGGGGTAGACAGCTATGAAACTTTGAAACATTCGGGTATATAGCATGAGTGAGTGTGAATGTAAATAATGACTGCACGGATGGCACACTTACTTCTATACTGAGTGTTGTGGGTTCGATCCCCATATGGGACGACACTTTGAGTGATCCACAAATTGTTGTTCTAAGTCTGGGTATTCTTTGTGTCCGTGTCCGTAAAGTCCCAAGTGCCAAAGGATATATTCCTAATGCGGGAGATGTCTTTTGAAAAGAAAGAAAGAACCTTTCTTTGCCTCGCAGACAACCAATGGTAAGGAATTCTTTTCTTTTAATCGAGTGACAGGGTTACTTGAGGCCTAATCTATAAAAAGCGGCAAAACACTTGTAAGTATCTCTCGAGATACAGATACGGCAGTAGTCACATACCAACAAGTGACCAGAACCCCCCCCCCCCCCCTTCCCAATGACATTAAAAATAAAGAAATCCCTGTAATGTAGTTATAAGTTTAGCTGCTCTTTTGTACCCTATTAGATTTAAAAAACAACTATAATATTTTATGATTTATTTAACTTTCCTGGACATTTAATTGAAATACAGAAAAACATTCTTGATTTATAAAAATGTTACCTACTCTTTAAGTCGCTTTATATTTTTATTTTATTTTTCTAGATATCCACGAGCCATGGTATTTAAGACGTGACGATTGGTACGCAAACGACGACCGCGGGATAACGCTTCTCAACCTCCCAATTTCAATGGTAATCATCTCGCATTCGGTGCGGGAGTATTGCACAGAAAAATATCAGTGTGTTCAGTATGTGCTTGATATTCAAAGGGACCATCTGACGGAGAATCGCTGGGATGATATAGGCCCCAACTTCCTCGTTGGCGGCAACGGATATGTATTTGAGGGCAGGGGGGCTAATGTATTAGGTGAAATGGTAAAATTTTTCGATTATAAAAGTATAAGTATTATGTTTCTCGGCAACTATGTGTACGACAAGCCAACATTAGCGATGTTTGATAATCTTAGTGTTCTTTTCAAAGAATTAGTAAATAAACGAGTGCTAACCACCGATTACAAAGTGTACGGACAATGTCAGGTGATTGGCGCCATTGTGAAGCCAGGGCCCAACGTCATGGATAACTTACACCATTTTGATCATTGGGATCCGAAGAACAGAAGTTCTTGTATGACCTTACAATATTCTTAAGACATAAAAACATTTGACAGTTAAAAAGACTGAAAATTTTGTAAAACTACACCTATTGTCGGTACGTCATACTCAACTTAGTTGAATAAATACAATCTATTGGCATGTTTTAGTATAGAATAGAAAAAAAAAATAGTCGCGGGACGTCTGCCAGATGTGAAACATCGAAATTATTATATAGAAATAATGAGTATAAAATCCCTTGGAATAATCAGCGTGAGAGTCACTGAGTCATTTACGCATGGCGACACGTGGCCACACCACATTACATGTTACTATTACATAGCGTGGCGACGCCTAACCACCGGGCAGACCCACCCCGCATTAGATGTTTCACATAAAAAAATGCAATGTCAAATACAGCTGCAGTGGCGGTAGCATCGAGATTATGCGGCGTCAAGTGGAGTTGAGGGTTATAAACCCATCCAGACCAACGTGAACTTACTTGGTTTGGTTACTTTTTAGCTTGGCTAAAGAGATTAACAAAACCACAAGTAATGCGCAACCCGCGTTAACAATATTTCTATGAAAAAAGGCGTTAGTAGCCCGACGTTCGATATCCTACATTTATTTATATCAAATGATAATTACTCTAATACTACTGAACATGTCATCGTAAAATTGGAAATACTATTAGATTATAATCTAAGAATCTGTCTCGGGAGATTATCAACTGTTGAAAAATTGTGAATCGAAACGTATTGTTTATAATTTAACGCAATGTTTTTAGGTAGATCAAACCGTCAAATTGTGGATTTTTAATTATTGATACCCTTTTTCGCTTCGTCTTCGAGCTGACCACTGACGAAGTCAAGATGTGGATCTTTCGTGGCCAGTTATAGAGCCCTCGAGATTCGGCTCACAAGTGCATAACGGTTTCAAAAGGTGTGTAAACGAAAGCCTGAACCTATTTTCTGTATATTTTTTTTACTTTTAAAATAAAATTTATGAACTAAATGCTTGCAATAAGCTGAATAGTCTAGGATTTTGATGAGCTCAAATGATTGTGGTGAGCTCAATGTTCTACTCAAAACGTGAGCTAGAATTTTCTACTAAATACTTGTGTGAGATCTAATTTTCTACCAAGTACTTGCGGTGAACTGGAATGTTTTACCAAATGCTTACCTTCAGCTGAATGTTCTATTAATGCTGCCGGTGAGCAGCTAATATGTTGTACCAAATACGTACATATATTGAATTGACTAATAAATGCATCTGGTGAGGCACTCGAATGAACAACCAAATGCAAGCAGTAAGCTCAGATGTTCTACCAAATGCTTGCGGTGAGCTCGAATGTTCTATAAACTTCTTGCATTGAGCTGACAATACATAATAGTGTCTATTCACAATTGCAGAATACCGTTGCAAGTATCCCCATTGTATACAGTTACAAGCAGACGTACATATTTTTATTTATAGAAATATTTTTAATATTTAACTGGAATCATGTGTACTGAAAATCATTAAAACAAACACAACATTACATAACATAATTTTATTTACGCATAATAATTATACAAAAATATAATTCTAATCTATTCATTGTAATATGATAATATGAAAGTGTTATGGACTAAAATTATATTGGCACATAATATCTACACTATAGATATAAACATATTGTTTCGCCTTTCAAAGGCGTAGACTTGAACACGAATGACGCGCTGTAGACATTTTCAAAATTAATATTCAGAAATCACTTTTGACGTGTGTATGACATTGACAAGTGTGACCGGGGTAACCAGTAAAAAAAAACTTCTTACATTTTAGAAATATGTTTTAAATTTCTAATATATTTTTTATAATTTTAACGAATACCAATAATTATTTTATTTGCATATCTGTTTATACGTAAGTAAAAATTTAAGTGCTATTTAATCTTAATAAGAATTTGAATTTAACACACTTCAAAAAGAATTATAAGATTTCGGAAAAAACGCGGAAACTTGTATACTTTTAGTGAAATTGCAAAGGGGATAATGTAGAAAATTATTGTATGTAGCAATACTACAGTGATATACACAACATGACGGCCTTGGTTCTGTTTTAGCAATACACCTTAACATATTTCAAAATTTATTCCGATATTAGTTTGAAATAGACATAATTTTCATAGAAACGGCTTTGCCAGAACATTCATTAGTACACATTTTACAATATAAATTATTTTACCAGCAATATATATTTAATACCTTATGAACGCCACTGTCACCATATAATAATATGTGACATACAAAAATGCACCATAATCCCTACAAAATAAACACTGATCTTTATGTTTGTGAAAAATGATTTTTCGTGTGGCACACATGCGACAATGGCGTTATTAGGTATTAAACTTTCTTCAAATAAAGCCGTTTTGTTGGATATTATAGTCTTGTTATGCAATGCAAACTAGTTAGACTTCAGCACAGTCTTGTGAACATGATCGATCTCTTATTTTATAATCTGCTTTTAACAATTTCTAACAATATAAATAAATTTGGACTAGCCAATTTTCAATGGTAATAAAATTTATTTTTAACAAAGCGTAAAGTGAAGTGTGCAGCGTGTTAGGACACAGGTGACGTAATAGATGTGACGTGACATAACACTTCACTTGAAATAAGTCCAAAACTAGTCAGACAATACACGAGTTAACAATCAATACTTTCCTCCGTCTGTTGGAAAATACATTGTAGTGTATTTTTTTATATACTCATAAAATTAAATATATAAGTTGTAATTTATACAGAATGATTTTTTTATTCATGTAGTTAAATTCGAATGTTTGGGCATGTAAAAAGATAGGCGTAGAGCAAAAGACTAAAAATGTATAAAATTATACTAAACAATGCTTTTTTGCGTAGTATAATTATACACATTTTAAATAATAAAAGTCACTCTGTATACGAAGAAGAACAACTATGTATAACTGTATATAAATATTATATAATTATCTTCGAAACAACATTTGAGTTATATTGTGTATAAATAAATATATATTATAGGGATTTATACAACCATTCAGGAAGACAATGGCATGTGATTTTTATGTTTATTTTATTATACATTTTTGCGGAGGCGCAGTTTCATTTTAAAACTGCTATTTATAAACACTATTATTATGCATATAAACTTTTAATATTCAAAATTTTACATTTCTACGTATCCTAATTTCATTCATCTTTATATATAAAGGAAATGAAAGAAAAGTGGGGTCATCATTACGTTAAAGTAGCGTAAAATTTCTGCAATAAAATGCAATTAAGGAAACTGGTGATTTTCAATACAATTTTTTTTTTAAAGAGACGAAAAGAATTTCATCTATATATATATATATATATATATATATATATATATATATATATCTACATATCTATATATATATATATATATATCTACATATCTATATATATATATCTATAAATAAAGAATAAATTTTACTATTGTTTTTTTTTAAGGAATAGGGGGCAAACGAGCAGACGCTGCCCATGAACGTCTGCAACTGAGGAGTCACAAGCGCGTTGCCGGCCTTTGAGGAAGGAGTACGCTCTTTTCTTGTCGAAGAAAGTTGTTTGAAGGTCGTATTGTAAACAAAATCATTGAAATCAACCTAAAAAAATCATTTTCAACAAAAAAAAAAACAAAATCCACCCTTTTTTCAAACAATTGTCGGCTGCGGTATTTCCGAACCGATACGGCTACAAGAAAAGAGGGTACTCCCACTTCCAAAGCGCTTGTGATTCCTAAGTTGCAGGCGTTCACTTTCCATCCAGTGGACCGTTTGGTTGTTTGCTTCCTTATTTCATAAAAAAAACAAACAATAATACTATAACATAATTTGACCCACACTTTTCTATAATATGTGAATCAGAAATGTTGTCAAGTCTGTAAAAAGGTCATCCATGTACAACCGAATATTTTTTATTCCGCAAAGTTTATTTATAACCATGCTTTTGATAAATTTTAACAATAAAATTATATAAATACATAATGAACAGATATCCTATGAATTTATGATACTTAAAATTAATGTGGAATGTAAATAAATACTGTAAATAAAAATTATTGTTTACTGACTATTTACCTAAAAACTATCCGTGAGTGCACCAAAATGTAATAATGCATCCAAGCCTTGACTTGCGTTTTTGACTAATTTACGAATATTTATGCATAAAAACTGGGCCGGTTGATATTTTTGTCCTAGAAGCATACGGAAACGCGACCTCGGCCTCTTCGAGCTACTGCAGTCTCTGACCAGTTTCCTCTGCCGAGGTTTGAGGTAGTTCTAACTCTCCCGCTCTATTCGTTTTCCTTGCCCCAATTCATCTTTTCTCCTCCAGAGTGTCTAAAAAGTATCCTTAAGAAAAGTTGGCGTCAGCAGGAAACGTACTTGACACACATTGGGACGAACCCAAGTAAAAATGAAAAGGCAGGAAAATGATGGTAATTTATGCATTCAATCTATTCCAAGCTTATTAAGGTCTAGACGGCGATCGTATTACCTGAGGGCTTAGATTTGGTGCTCTATTAATAGTTTACTTCTTACCTCCAAGCGACTCAAAAAAGTTGACAAACTTATTAACACCAATGTTTTTAGGTAAATCATCTTCTGGCGGGTCGTTCGCTCTGATCACTTCTTTGGGTGCACCGTTTGAATTGGAAACCATTTTGATTTCATTCGATGTCCTTACTTTGCGATCACCGTTGACATAATTGTTGAAAACGAGGCTAACAGGTTCATCAGGTTCCTTAAATTTGGGAGATTCAACTACGGGCTCTTCGAATACTGGAGCGGGTTCCTGAACTTTTGGAGCGGGTTCTTGAACCTTTGGAGCGGGTTCTTCTACTACTGGGGCGGGCACTTGTACTGGTGGTGTAGGTTCTGGTACTGGTGGTGTAGGTTCTTGTATTGGTGGTGCAGGTTCCTGAACTATTGGTGAGGGTTCTTCAACTACTTCAGCAGGTTCTTCGTCAATATTGTTCACTTCATTTAACTCTACTGTACCATTTGTTACTTCTGTTATCGTTCCACTTACATTAGAAACTTGACTGGATTCCGTAATGATTTCTGTTCTTTCCGAGATGAATCCGCTACTTTCTGTGAATGAGGATGATGAATAGGTTTCAGTTTCAGTGAAACTACCAACGACTACTGGTGGGCCAGGTTTCACAGGAAGCTCTTCATTACTCGCTTTTGGTTCTTCCCAAATTCGGTAGTATTTCGTGTACAAGCTGTCCCAGTATTCCATTTTTTCTTTGTCTGGGTTGATACCCAAAGTCAATTCTGAGCCAATATTGAGGTAATACAGGTTATCCTTAGTCACTGGTAGCCAGTTTACTGTCAGATAGTGGTTCTCCTCAGGTGTGGGGTTCCTGTAATGCGAGACAATTTTAATTTAATTTAATTTTAAAAATTAACAAATCGGAAGTTCAAAATGATCATGGCTTATATAAATCCTATGTTATTTACTTTAAAAGTCATTCCGTATGTGGCACATAAAAAAACAGTGGCACTCCGTGAGTGCCGACAGAAGTGAAAAAATATTTTTTTATGATTAAAACAGTTTTTTTCGATTCACAAAGTTTCGACATGAATATGTATTCATGTTGTACGTATATACGCAATATATATTTTTTTTATTATACGAGGGCTGCTATTTATGTATCCGGAATAACAAAGTGAAACAAACATGTAGTATTTATTATAGTTTTATTGCTTTTCAAAATATTTACCGGGATGACCGATGCACTTTTGCATACATTGGAAACAATTTTCGTGGCACTTTTGTCATTCAGATTATGGTATCTCCAAATCGTGCATTTTCAACAACCGCTTCAAGGCTCGAAAAACGTTGACCACGTAACTTATTATTTACGGTTGGGAATAAATAGAAGTCGTTGGAGGCCAATTCAGGGCTGTACGGCGGATGACCCGTTATTTTCATCTTTTGATCTTCCAAATATTGAGTTGTTTCGGCCGATGTGTGACAGCAGCGGCGGACATTGTCATGATGAAGAAGGATTCTGCGTTGTTGGTTATTCTTTCTTTTTCTTTAAGGACTTCTGGCAAACAAATGGTCGTGTACCATTTAGAAATAACCGTTTCAAGATCCTCTAGTGGCATTGTAGCCACATGTCCATTTATACCAAAAAAAAACAAGCAAATGGCTTCAAAGTGCTTTTTGAAGCAATGACTTTTGTTGGGTTGGGCTCATCTTGGAACACCCAAAGCGTTGATTGTTGTTTAGTTTCAAGATCATACGCATATATCCAAGATTCATTTCCTGTGCAGATATTATAGGCAGCTTTTGACGCACCCTGATTGTACTTTTGTAACATTTTTTTATACCAACCTACACGAGCCCGTCTTTGGTCAATTCTCAAGTTCAATTCGGAATACAAAATCCAAAATTTTTACAGCTCATTTTTTTTCAGCCTGGCCTCTATCTCGCGTTATGTAACATGACGATCTTGCATTATTTGTTTCCGCACAGCATCAATATTTTGAGGTACAACAACCGATTTAGGGCGACCTTCTTTAGATTCGTCCGTGAGCACAGACCACCTTCGAAAAAACTTACTAAACCAGTGATACACAGTTGTTTTTTCGTCCCCAAAAGTCGAAGTGAGTTGATCGATGCACTATTTTTGAGTTAGCCCTCGCCAAAAATCATAACACGAAAATTTTCACGTGTGAAATCCATAGTGATGAAGACACGTAATTTTCAGAATGACACCACAAATAATAAACAAGTGACAGCGACATAAAACAAATTGTATTCTTCAGCCAAAGAGCTTTATTTTAAATGTTATCATTACTTTTTTAATATTATTCTGTAATTGGCCAGTTCCGGATACATAAATGGCAGCCCTCGTATATAGCAGTCTCGTGTAAACGGGGTAAGGTACATCTAGATAGTTATATACAGAGGTGACGGTAACAGTAACAGTGTCGCGAGTTTAATGGGTTTTTCCCATTTCAAATACATTATTTTCTTTGTTGTTCAAAAATGCCCAACGTGCCTAGTTTACACTTCAAAAATTGTCCTACAGTTGGTATTAAAGTTACCTAAAATTTATACCCTTCATGAGTGCAGTTGAAGTTCGGCTTTTACAAGAGTTCAAAGCGGTCGAAATAGTATATATATTTGTAACAACATACAGACAAAATTGTAAAACTAAAACGTTTAAAATTATCACTCACCCGCTCTTAGCGAAGTTGGTCCATAGTCTCACCATCCTCTCTCTAGTTTTCTGGTCTTCCTCAGAAATCTCCAAATCTTCTTGGAAATCATTTTTAAACAGATAACCTAAGTCATCCAAGTGTCCTGCATATTTCGAATCTTGCTTAAAAAATTTGTTATAAAGGTTTAGACCGCCGACATAATCCAAGCTATAACAGTAAATTGGTTTATTTGTAACTTGGATCAAATATTGGATGAGCCTGTAAGTGTCTACTCTAAAGTAACGGTCTGATAATAATTGGTATGTTCCAAGTTCAGCATCATCTTTTAAGTAAAGCTGTTTCAGTTTTTCTGCAATCTCCAAAGATTCTGCACAACCTTTTTCGATGTTTAGCTCTTCGGGTATGAAAAACTGTAGATCTTCAAACTTTTTATCAGTAGTTAATTCTAAAGCGCAAGTTCCGATCATTATTGGGATATCGGCTACTCTGCCCGACGTCAAGAAATCACGGAAAGGTTCTGAGATGAATGCTTCAACTCCAGAAAATTCTTTTTCAATAACAAGTGAAAACATATTCAATTTTTCAAGCGTTTCGCTTTGAGGGTTAATTTTTTCGTGGGTTTCAACAAGTTCCTTTGCAGAGCAAGCTCTTAAAAAGTCAAGTATTTCTTCAGGGTCTTTTGACTCACAACCTAAATTCTTAGCAAGTAACCTAGCGTTCTCTACCGGATTTTTCTGTAATACATAGTCTGATAACGCTGTCCCAGATTGAATAATTGCTTTGCTTATCAAGTTTTTCGAAATAGGACTAACTGTTAGTAAACTTACTGCAGCACCACCAGCGCTTTCACCGAAAACAGTAATATTCCCGGAGTTACCACCAAAATTCTCAATATTATTTTTCACCCATTTTATCGCTTGCACAATATCTTTAAGGCCAGCATTTCCTGGAACCTCAGGAGTGTTTAAGCCTAAGAAGCCAAGAACACCACACCTGTAGTTCAATGTAACGATGACTACGTCCTTTTCTACTAAGTAATCAGGGCCATGGAGGTTCGTATTTCCGGAGCCGAACCTAAAACCGCCTCCGTGTACATATATCATGACAGGCAGAAATGCTCCATCTAAATTTGGAGTGTAAACGTTGAGAAAAAGGCAGTTCTCGTCGCCCATGTATTCATTTTTAAGGGTATCCAACTGTGCGGTGCAATTTCCTTCAGAAGTAGCATCGCGAACACCATCCCATGGTTCTGGAGGTTGAGGAGCCTGAAATGTGGTGAAAATGTAAAATGTAGTTAAAAAATAATAATCATGACACATCTTGCACATGGTCGTCTGTTTCCTAACTAGACAGAACCTACACTTTTTAACCAGACTGCTGATAGCTGATAAACATCCCTATTATTTTCTAAATATATACATATTATAGAACTTACACCCAGACACAGACCAAAATAATCGTGCTAATCACACAACTGTTTGTCCTGGGTGGTCATCGAACCCATGACCTCTGGCTCAACAGTCAGGATCACTGACTAATAGACCAACAGTCCAGTAAAGTCCAAATGTTGCTGGTGCTTTCCTTACTACGTTTCTATGGCTTTAAGCATGTCACCGTACAGTATCAAAAACAACGTGATGTTTTGAAATATCAATTAAATTCATAGTGGTGGACAGACGAACGCTCTTGTGTTGTCTGTCACCCGTGAGGTCTGGTCTGAATCAGGCTTATGGCAACGGTCAGAGTAACTAACATCCGTGTGGTGACTGATTAAGAATACAGAGTGTCACCACCCCTATTGATCCCGTGGGTGTCGTAAGGGCCGACTAAGGGAGTAAACTACGAAGGACAAAAACACTGCAAAGAGAAGGAAAACTTGATACCAACCATATGCCAGCCCGTCTGGCCCGCGTGGTATAGTAGGCCAAAACCTCCTTACTAGGGAGAGGCCTATGTCCAGCAGTGGACTATTAAAGGCTATTAATGTGATGTTGTATAGTATAACTGAACGTATCTCAAGTCTAATAAAAAACTGATAAATTAATAATATTGGATAATTTCTGGCGGGAATGTTATGGAAATTTCGTGGCGCTCCTGACAGACGCGCCAAACAGATACACTGATATTAGAGATAGCCTCGAAAGTCACGGTTAGTAGCGTAAACATAAAGCGACAGTAAGTTTTATTTATGGTATAGGGTGGCAAACAAGCAAATGGGTCACCAGATGGCAAGTGACAGCCGCCGTCCATTGACATGCAATTCAGCAAACACAAGTGAATTGACGACTTTGAGTATCATCCCCCCATTGGGGGGGGGGGGGGGGGTTGTTGGTATGATGTCACGTTGACTTAACCACCCTCGCCAAATTGAGAAGTGGGGGGAGATTGTAATGTCATCTGGTAACCTCAGTACGTAAAATGCAAGGAAAGAATGGTTTAATACGGATTTTCTGCGAGTACATCGTGTGACTCCGGTTGAGCCGGCACATATCTACAGATTCTTTAAAAATTACGTGTCTACATTGTAATTTATGTTTTATCACTTATATAATGACGTGATCAAGATCTTTTGCTATTCTTATCATGTTTGTTGGAGACTGGGAGATAATAAGATCACAAATTATCTTATTGTACATTAGGTATACCTGCTCTGTTGCAATGTAAATTATCACGTTCAAGAAATCATACTGTATTTACTAATGATTTCGTGACTGGTTGAAATTAACCAGAGGCCCAAAGCCCCCCCCCCCCCCCCACCCCTTTCGAATTTACAATATTTTATTAACGAAAGGGTTGATTTTGGAGATAAAACTATTCTGTATCCTGCCCCATAACTCAAACTATCTGCATACTAAATTTCATCTAAATAGGTTCAGTGATTATTGATTCCTCACACAAATTTCCACCCCCTTTAAGGATGATTTCTAAGATAAAAACTGGCCTATGTCTTTTTCCCAGAACTCGAACTATCTCTATACCAAATTTTATCTAAAGCGGTTCTTCGGTTTAAGCATAAAGAGGTAAGACGTATCAGACAGACAGAAAGAGGTATCAGACAGACAGATAGACTTTGTATTTATAGGATCAGGATGTGCTGGGCCTAAAAATAATTAATGGATTTTATATAATGGCAATTTTTTTGTTCACGGATCTCTAAGGAGGGGGAGTTTGGGGGCTCCAGTAACCTCACTCAGTCGGTGATATGCAACGTAAGAATTTTTCTGCTAAGGATATTTATACTTTGTATTTTCAAAATTTAAGTTAACTTTAAAACAAAAAATGGCTATGATGGAGCGACGTAGTCTTCTTTGTGGCTAAGCTCCGTAAATAAACACAAAAGAAAATTGTCGGGAAGTCGGAGACCCCTTTTTTTCTTGAGCGGAAATCCCCTCGGATTTCACCCAGCGGTTGGGTGATTATGTCGGACACGAACCAAACAAAAACCAGATACCAGTAGCCGGGGGACCAGGTGTACCCTAGAAAGGAAATCCCTGATACCCCGACGTACTTCGGACTCGGAGTCCCCTAGCTCAACGCGCTACATCAATTTGCAAGTTGTTTTATACATTATTACATTTTATATTTTACATCAGACACGCGTCTGATAGCATAAAACCTAATAGGTAATAAATAAAGTTAGTGGATAGTCAGTGGACAATAATAAGGCAATCGATTAACAAACACAGAGGAAAAGTTATTGAACTGTTTTGTATAGTACCTATTTAATACAAGAAGGTCGGCTAGAGGTCGAGATTTATTTTTTAATCTCTATAGCAGGCAGTCTACTCTGTTGGTCTAATGCTGAGTCGTGGGTTCGCTTCCCACTAAAGGTAAAAAAATATATGATAAGCATGATCATTTCATTTGTTCTGCGTCTGGGTGTAATTTATCTATAATCTGTAGATATTTATAAGTATGTTTATCGGCAGTCTGGCTTAGTAAGGGATCACGCGGGCGTAAGGCGCATATTATTAAAATAAAGTTTTTATTATAACCTAAACGATGACCTGTTCCAGATGATAGCCGGGGTAGGAGGTAGGATGAAATCTGCATCTCGGTCAAAAAGAGCAAGGCCGGCTTTACTGTCTCGGGGTGGTGGTGAACAGCGTTAAGGTTGGATATCCACGTCCAGACGCATGGTGTTCTGAGCGTGGACGTCCAGAAGGGGATTATCCAACGCTAGCGCAGCTGGTACCCCCCCGGGGTAGAATATTACTCAACGACGCTATCATGGGGGGGGGGGGAATTGCTTAACGACCGGTTTTTTGTGAGGCCGTGGTATCGTACTGGTCCAGCCGGCCCATTTTTGCCGAAGCATGGCTCTCCCACGGCGAACCTTTAAGTTTTTTAAGATAACTTTGGTTTTAGGGTTGTTTGCTGTTGTTTAAAGTTGGTTTTTTATCACAGTTTATATAAAGTAATAACTTTTCAAAAATAATTAATGAAATAAATTATAAGGTGAAATTGTCGCAACCTGGCCAGACGGGTTGGTATAGGGTTTGTTTGGGGTGCTGGGCTAGAAAACCTCCTCGTGGTGCACCCTGGAAACGCTGGCGATGGTACTGTTTCCTCCTTGTCCTCTTGGAGGAGAGGATTATCGCCAGCGGCCAATATTCTAGCAGAAGAGGCAGCCGTTCATCGGCTCTCGGGCAAGGCCTGGTCCAGCAGGGTGGGCGTGTCTGCCGGTTGCCCTGCTGGCTCTTCGCTCTTCGGAGCATGGAGGAGGAAACCTCGGTAAAAAACCTGATGGCGGGGCCCTGTAGGGGCCACAGTTTCTCCGCTGATAGCGGTGGAGAAAGGAGGACGGGCTCGGCGTGTACTCACACTACCACCGAGCAGGCAGGGGGACGTAGTCTCCCTGTCAACCGTCGGCATATCGTAATCCCGAGAAGAGCGCTGTGGTTAAGTCTCGCGGCTCTGATCGGGGGCGAGGGTCTTGGCTTAACCGCCCGGACCGCGAGGAAGATAACCTCTCTAAAAAATTCCCCGAATCCCGTGTTCTGGTGCGTGGCCAGGGGATGCATGGCTGATGGGAAGTTCAGTCGCGAGCGCACTCCAAGCCGAGGTACCTGCGGACCCCTCGGTTGGGTTAAAAACTTACGCTTGCCCGGGTAATGGGGGATCTCTGCCCGGGTGGACCTTTAGTTCTCCCCCACTCGTGGGATTTATTATGGATAATGATAACCAAAATTCAAGAAAAACGATCGGAAAACCAACTAAAACAAAAAAGGCAAGTCAAACGGACACGGCAACGAGGAAGGATAAGAGGAACAGTGGAGTGGATGGGTCGTCCACTGAGGGTGAGATGGTGTCAGGAACGCCTATCTCGATGGGGCTCCCAGAAGTCAGTCTGACGCTGGTCTCTGGGAGCCGAAGAGCATCGGATCGGCTGCGTTCCGGATCCGCCGCTTCATCGGATGGCGCGGAGGCCATGGAAGCGGAGCGGAGCGACAGCCGGAAACGCGGACGCTCAGGGGACGTGGAAACCGACACGTCCGGCGAAATGATGCCACCAAAGGTGGCAAGCAGCCGCCGAGGGAGGGCGCGCAAACCGGCCTCGGTCGCGATCCCGTCAGGCTCCGCGTTCTCCAACGCGGAGTCGTACAGGAACGTACGGGTGGACGGCGAGGCCGTAGCGGAGGAGGAGATCGCGGATCTCCTGCTCAAGGTTCGGGAGCCGGTGGGGGGAAATGCCCCCCAGGCTCCCGTGTCCGTGCAGGAGAGGGCGAAAGCGGCGGTGGCCGTCATCGACAAGGTGGCCACCAAATCCGTGAACCTTAAGGGCTCGTTTGTGAGGGCCCTTAAGGACTCCTCCTCCGCTTTGTCGGAGGTCGTGGAGGGCCTAGCGGGCGACGTCTCTCGCCTGCAGGTGGCCAACGAGAAGCTGACGGAGCGGGTGAACGAGCTGAGCGCTCAGTTCGCCCGCTTCCAGGCGAACCTCCCCGAGCGGGAAGCCCCGTCCGCGTCCCAGCCTGCCCCTACCACCAACTCAGGGGCATTTGACTCCCAACTGCGAGAAATCCTCATCGCAGTTGGGAATATGCTGGACGGACGCCTGGCTGGCCTGGAGCCGAGACTGCCCCCTGCGCCGATTATGCGCCCCCCGCTCGCGTCGGCACAGCGGCCTAAGGCCGCCGCTCCGACCGCGCTCCCCGTAGTGGGAGGCCGCGTCTCCTACGCGGCGGCGGCGTCTGCCCCGACTCCATCGGCTCCCCAAAAGCCGAGGAGGGGGGCCAAGGCACCGGCCCAGGCGCCGGCCAAGGCA